ATCGGAAGAAAGTAAAATCATACACCATTATGCAAAATACCAATATAAAACTGAAACCAACAACAATATAGTCTGGAAAAAACATTATAAGCATTTGACTTCAAACACAAAATGGTTATCTCATATGCAAATTAGAAAAAAAAATGAACTGGTTTTCTCAGAAAAGAGAACTGAAATTGAAAACCATACCTTATCGAAATTTACAAGAAAGATTGCATTAGGAGCAGGTCTGTCATTATCTTTGGCAGAGTACTCTGAATTATCCAAATCAAATATGTAGGAATATAGTTTGTGAAATACTGGTTCCACGGTCGCTGCTTCTACCTCAAACAATGGCACCTCCCTTCCAAAATCAGTCTAAACACAAGGAAAGACAGAAAATTCAGAACTTAGCTTAGAAACACACTCCACCTAACAACCCCCCCAAAATAATTAACATATTATATTTACAGCATCACTCACTTCTCTTGCATTCCCAGCAGGAACCATAGTCTCTTTCAATGCCTTCTCAAGCGCAATCAGTTCCGGCTGCCCAGCCTATTGTCAAAGCAACACAAAAGGCACAGCTCCTGTCATTCCTATCATTTAACAAAAAAAACGAAAACTACTAATACTCAGTAAATTCCCCAATTCTCCCATTTGTAATGCATCTCCTGTCTATGGGTCCCTTCATGTGAGACCCGGATGCGACCCAGACCCACAAACACCGAAATCTTTGCTGAAAATGCATCGAGACATTGGTAGCAAAGATGATTTTCCACTAGAACATTACAAGTACAACCTTTTGACTTAAAGCTTGCAAAATACAATTACTTAACAATACTAACTTTAGGGAGAGCTTACCGGAAAAACATTAAAAACGACATGATGTTCAATATCAAGAGGCTCGCCAGTCTCCATACATGAAGGCCTGTGAGTTTGGAAGCCGATCCTCAAAAACTCTTCTAATTTATGCGAATCTATACCAAACCTATACCCTCCATCACCATTAAAACCTACGAGCACTACATTCACCTCCAACGGAACCTGAAATGGAACCTCCACGACAAGCCATAAAATCAAGCATCTCATAAACACAAAATAAAGAAAATCAAAGTTATTAGAAATGCAAAAATTCGTAGTTGAGCTTAAAAGGACGCAAAATTTAACCAAAACAAAACAATAAATAATCAAAGCTGGAATTACGGACTATTTGGCAGCTGAAAGTAAAGGACGCAGTTCAGTGGAATTACATTTACTACATAGTTCAAAACGAGTTCTGAAATATTGCGAGTCTAAATTGTTATTTTAACTTAATAGTAGTGAGATACCTCGGCGCGAGTGTGGAGCATGCGGCGGACGTCCGATCGGACGCTGTCACGGACATCTTGAAAAGCGCTATGATGCCACTGAGGGTGGCCGGGGTCACGACGGAAGGCTTGTGGTGCTGAGTCGGAGTGAGTCAAGATGAGACTCAACGTGAAATATAATAATAATAACAACAAACCGCTTGAGATGGATTCCATAGCCAAGGGTGGAGTGATGTTTAGTTTAAGAAATATCTCTTAGATTTGAAGAAGAGGAATTAGGGATTTGAGGGACTGCGAAGAAAGAAATAACTGCTAGTGCGGATTCTGATTTCTGCAATTCGTCAGGTCAAGCTCACTCACACCGGGAAAGACAACCTATACTACACTGGAAAATGGAATTGAATTTTGTTGATTTTGATAAAAATGCCCTCATGTTTGTTAATGACGATATGCTCCCCGAGAGACAAAGGCATGGTTGACATGTCGTTCAAGTTAAACAAACCACCCTTTTTTCCACACTTCTATGCTCACCTCCCTAGCCCTATCACGGTATCACCCATCCATCGTACTGAGGTTTGGGGATTCATTAATTTCTTGCTTTTAATGTTTGGGATTTGAATCGTGGCAGATAAAAAATATAATTTATTATCAAGTATCTTCCGTGTAATCTCGTATCATAAAATTACTATATTAATTAATAAATTATATATAAAAAAAAGAGACTTTTTTATTTTTTTTTATTTCTAACTTGTTCATTATTGAATTGAATTAAGATTTTGACAGTAATTTCTAAACACGTTATTTTTCATTCTGAACAATTAAATTAAAAATTAATGGTATTTTTCATTCTGAACAGTTAGATTAAAAATTAATGGTATGGAAGCTGGCTGTTTTAATAAAAAAATGGGGCTGTCAATATTGTGAGTTTTTCTCAAATAATTCTCCTTTAATCTTGTTGTAATATGAGAATAAGTTGTTATTGATAATATATATATATTATATCCCTCAGTTGAATTTGAGGAAGAATGATTGTGAACCCATTATTTGTTGATAATGAAAGTTTTTAGGTGGATTACGATCCCGTGATTTTTTCCTTATCAAGTTTTTCACGTTAAAAATCTTGATGTTAATTTTATAATTATTTATATTATATTTGATCATTGTTTAATTCTGATTTTACTGCACAAAGATAAAAAGAATTGGAGCTTATAAATTGTGAATTATATTCCGCTGAATTGATTCGGGTAAATTGATATTCAGTTATTCCTAATTTTCCTAACAAAGTCTTTTAAATTATAATTAAGCTATGTTTGGTATTATATATATTTTTGAATACAAAATATTTTTTTTAAAAAAAAAACCATTACAACAGCAAACAAACACTAACATAATTTGAATGTGATGGTTGTCAGCGTAATATCAATACTAGAATATGGGTTTTGTAGCAACCCTCACACCTTGTATAATGTGTTATGTCTTGAGAATCATCGGTCTAACGGCTTCACCAAAAATATAACACAGCAGACAATCTATTTCGGTAATTCAGATATATATATATATATATATATATATATATATAAAGTTCTTGTTAATCTATTTATTTTAAAAGTACTTGAGTTAATTTAAATATAAAAAATTATATACAATTAAATTGAAAATATTATTCTACATTTAATAAATAAAATAAAAATAAATGTATTACTTAACAATTGTTACCAAACCCGCCCGATCCAGAGTCATTCTGGTGTACCACTTGAGTTCCAAGTTGAATTCATGCAAACCAGATTTTTTTACTTTTAGAAAGAAAATTCTAAGTGTTTTTTAGTAGGCAGCCCGAATTGACTGATTATTAGATTTAGTGCTGAGCGAAACTACACCTTAATTTTCATTTTAATTGCCTGTTTGAAAATATAATAAAAGTTTTTTTTCTTGAAAATAGATAAAAAAAAATTAAACCTAAAAAAATATAATCAAAACACCATAACAAACACCACCACCGAGTTCCAGTATTTTAACATCTCATACCGCAGTTCGACAACTTCCTTGCATCTGCATATGCTGTTCCGTTTGAAGACATTCTCAGGGTGTACATGGACTTAGCCGCTATTATTTTTAATTTTTTTCTGACAAACATTTTACAAATTCAAAATCTCTTAAATAAGAGACGTCTTGGCATTAGCATCCAGGCACGGCAACCGCTTTGTCAATGTGCAGCTGTATAGCCATGCATCTCGATATATGTCTTGATCTGCTGATATGTTATTGGGAGTTGTCCACAACAAGGCAGCAGAAATATGGGTTATCAGTGCTCCAAGGCACTTCGGATGGAAACTGGTGGGGTTTGCACTGCGCCTTTGGATATGAGATCGTGGTTTAAGAATAAAACAATTACAGTTATATCGTCATGAAAGTGCCTCCGAACCTTCTTGTCAATCTTCTGCAGATCTGAATATCTCGTTTCTCTTTTTCTTGCTGCTTCTTGTAGGGCAGCCTTGACAAGCCTTCTGGCACTTCCCTGCATTATAACAAGCATCCGTTATGAAACAACTATATAATTTTTGATAATGGTGCATGATATACATTTCCGTGCACACATCCATATCCCAGCAATCCACAAGTACTATGGAAGATAGAATTGGCACGTCATGTACTTTTGTTGTCAATAATAGACATCTAAATTGCCAAAATATGCATAAAGAATTCATGACAATTCACGTGTGGAGAGGATGTCAATCTAAAAGGTCAGTTTCGAGATGCTATGATGATGCAAATCAATAATATTCAATCTCATGGAATGATTCCTTGGCATACATCCCAGCTTATTGATCCACAAGCCAACAAATTTATCACATATTTAACTCCAAGGCTGCTCTATGTTTAATTATACATGAAAATGAATTGACCGTGGATTACATTGGATATCAATGCATAATCCACGCACAGAACTAGAGAAAATAGATAGTGGATGAATAATCCAAATAAGATACAAAGTAACTCATCGATGAAACTACTTGCAGTTCTCTTCTGTGTCAAAACTTTAAAAAAGTTCATATTCACAATTCATGAATTATCTGTGACAAACATTATATATATATATATAGTGCTGTAATGCTTCCACTAGTTTTCATTCCAAACTCTTCCAAGAGATTTTGCTTTACCATATATATCCTAGAGAAAAGGTCATTTGAGTTTTTTATGAAATAACTAAGCATGCAAGTTTTAGTAACAAGGCTAACACCAAGCAGCATAGTTCCAAAATAAGGTTAAAACTTTATGGTCATTTGCTACCTAATCAAATAGAAGCACAAAAGCATGAAAGTAACTCAATGCAGAAAGCCTGACTACCAAATAATTAAGTACAAACACTTACTGCACGTGGATTACTGTGGACAATATCCACAACTTTTTCATTACTCAAGTGTTCCCAAAGACCATCAGATGCAAATACAAGGAATGAATCATTCGGATCGAGAGGATGTGAAAGGATAGTTGGATTGGCACTCAAGATTGGCATGTCCATTGGTTCAGGAAGTCTGAACTTTGCATCAATTGGTTCCCTGTTGAATCGTGCATGTTTCATATATACATCTCCTATGGATCTAGAAACCTGCATCCAATACAATCATTGAGTCCATGATAATATTATTTGTAAAGGAACATGCAATGAATATTAAGAACCTAGATGCTGATAATCCAATGCAACCCACAATGTAAACCAAGGAATTTCCACAACATTTGACTTCAAAGTAATCTTCATCGATGCAAAGGCTGGATGAAGAATATTTAAATTCTCTTTCACAATAAACATACTTATTTCCTACAGTGTATCAACAATATAAATAACAAAGCATCTAGCTCGACATGCAGTGCATTTTATCTGTTAGCACAAAAAGGAATGCCTGGGACAGAAATTTTTAGTTACCTGGAACACGGAAGAATATCATCAATCAACTAATTTGCCTCTATAAATGAAGCCATGCACTGACCAATGACTATAAAAATCATCTCAATTTAAGACATATATGCAAGACATGGATTTGTCAGAGCATGTGAATATTGCAGGGGTTTGGTATTGGTTTATATGTTGTTCTTTCTGATCTCCTGTTTGTGGTTCTTGCACCTTGTAGACACAATTCTATAACTCCAACAAATTGTTTTAAAAATAATTTTATATATCCTAAACAGGAAAGCAACAGGTAAATTGGTATAGCATTAACAACCACAACAAAGTTGATGACTTCCTGAAAGCAGTCTGGACTGGTCTTACCAAATGATAAACAATGCTATTTTGTATTTAGTTCTCAACCCAAGAACCACAAAAATTCCATCCAACCTAGTAGTTCCATGATTTATCACCCCGAATTTTTTTTAAAAAAAAAAAAAACTTCAAGAATAGAAAAGCACCTAAGACGTGTTTTAATTTGAAATAGTCTGAAAGTTAAATTGGGATTTGAAATAACCTGAATAATCCCCTTCACTTTCCAGACTCCACGCTTAAGGACAGCAATCTGGGAATCATTTGGATGTAAGTCCTTGAGTTCGTGCCTGATGGCCTCAAGGTTTGCATTATGTTCAGTTGATAATTGTATTGCAGCAATACCTCCTGTGTTGCCGACTTTCTTGCCCAGCACAACACGGGAATCACCCAGGTTTGCCACAAAGAGGGTCTGTTGACATATGACTCCAACTAGACAGCATGACCCAACTGTTGCCATTTGGGGACGAGTGCTCCATAACTCGGACACGAAATTGGTAAACCCTTCCTCTGTTAAGCAGAAAGCTCTTTGGATGGTCTCACTTGTCACAACACCCTGCGTCTCTGCTGAAATTGGTGCATAACCACAAAGTCTAAGATTGCCAACATAAGGCACAATCCTTTTCTAAAGTTAAATGAAATAAAACCCAAAAAAGATCAAAATAATTGAGAAACAAAAATAATAAAAAAATTGAAGATATATGCCCTGCTTTTTCACTGGAATTCAAAGTCTCAAATCCATTATCCTCGAGCAAATCTATTTTCTAACTAGAGCTAATGCATTTGGCCAGCACACATTTTAGAAGCACTGACTTAGATTTCAATCTAAATTTAATGGCCAACATTGTGTTGTTTTTTGGGTATAATAGCAAGGAACTAGGCAGGTGGCTCTACTAAAAACTAATCATAAAGCTTACATTTAATCACCCTGTTCCAAGTCTAAACTGTTGTTTGAAGTACAAAGCATTGCAAACTCATAAAAGCCAATCAAAAGCTTACACAAAAAGCAAA